TTTTTCTGAATAGATAATATTATAATCATAACTTAATTTGTATTTCTCTCTTTTATTATATCATTTATTAATTATTTTAAAATATATTTAATATCTTTTTATATCCATACAAAGCACGGACAAGTACACTAGTTCATAAATAATAATTAAGAACTACCCTTTTATAATTGATATTGTTTAATACCAATACACCGTCCATATATAAAAAGTAAACATCTAAGAAACATATCACATGATAATGGTGCATTACCAAATCAAGATCTGGCAAGATAAGTGAAAAATAAAAGCAAGAATCATGCTATTGCCTTTTATCTGGTGGACGTGTCAAAAATAATAATAATTTGAATGCTTCTAAATCAACAAACTGATCACGGGTCTGTTTGGAAGGACACCCTGGTAATTGGATTTGATGTAATTGGTGTAATTACACTGTCTTGTCCTGTTTGGAAGGACATGTAATTACTTGGTCAACATGTAGTTGGTGTAATTGGCAGGGGGTAATTACACTCTACAATTCACAGGCAAAGGCTGTGAATGCTGGTAATTACATGGTGTAATTACCCCCTGATTACTATTTCATTTTTTTTTAATTTCTATTTTTTATTTTTTTTGTTTTAATTTTTTTTACTTCTATTATTTTAATTTCTTTTTATTTTTATTTTTATTATTCTAAAATTTGTAAAAGTCTATTTTTTATTTTTTATTTTTTATTATTATATTTCATTTTATTCTTATTCTCAACCTTACTTTACATGATTTTATGTAATTTTCTCGTATTATCTATTTCTTTATGCCATGTTTATTTTCTCATTAGCATAATTTTATTAGTATTCTAATTTTTAAATTAAAATAGAATTTATGTTAAGTAAGGTTATAGACCTACGTTTTCTTTATTATGAAGAAATAAAAATAAATCATATTTATTGCTATGTTGAAATTTGTTATAAGAGTATTATGTTAAATTTTTTGTTTTGAATTTATTACTTATGTTATATTTTCAGTTTCATTTGTTTTAGTAATATTGAATTTACATTGCACGTCATTTTTTAATTAGACTTGATAGATTATATTTTTGTCAAACATTTAATAATTTATGATATTTTATTTATATATTACTATTCTTTTTATCAAACATGCATTTCATAATGTTCGTAGAAACTTCATACTTTTAGTTGTTACGATCAATTCAATTGAAATATATTAATTTGAAAATATATAAATCAATTATTTTTTCATAATATTAGTTACAGTAAATATGTTTATTAATTAATATATTTTCAAAAAAGAATATATATCTTAAATATTTAATTTAATGTCATTTATAAAATTTCTTATTTGTCTAGTATAAATTTTAAATGATTAATTTTATTTTAAAATTTATTATAATTTATGATTGCAATTGTGTATCCAAACAGAACATGTGTAATTACACTGTGGCATCCAAACAGGACATGTGTAGTTACAGTGTAATTACACTGTGACAATCAAATATGTCAGTGTAATTACTAGACTGTGTAATTACTATGCTGGTAATTACTACCCTAGTAATTACACCAATTCTAATTACTTGGTGACTTTCCAAACATACCCGTAATTTCATTTTTCCTAGAGTTCTCCAGATGTCCCCTTGAAATTTCATTTCTTTCTACAGTGGAGATAATCTTACACGTAATGACAAATCACAATCATATTATTAAAAGCTTGTTGTAAAAATAAATTTCTTTTTAGTGTTCAAAAGCAATATTTCAAAGTTTTTGTATGTGCTCTATTATTTGTATGGATAAATCCTATAATAGAATATATAACTTCAATTATTAAAATCATTTTTTCATCGCTTAGCTTCATAATAATTATGTAAAGCTTTTACATAATTTTTTCAGAATAAGTCAACATTCGTTACGATCAATGAATAATATTATCATTCAAAACGTGAATATTTCTGCTCCATTAATCCAATTGATAACTTTTAATTTCATATGCCACTTGACACATACAATTCTGAATCTGATTCATTTGGTGTTAGGGAAGAGAAGGGCTCAATCGATTTTTTTTAATGAAAAGTAATATATATATATATATATATATATTGCTCTTAATTTTTTCATATATTTAATTTTTTATATCATAAATCATCATAATTGCCATTTGCCACTACCACAGTTATAGTAACAATTGGAATTATGATCGAATATCTCCTAATATAGAACCACCACTTGCTCTCTTATTCAGATTCCCTTCTTGCTACTGTCACCGTAAATATTTACCCGTATTTAAGCTATTTTTATACTAAAAATATATATTAAGAATTTTTTATTTATGATTTTTAAGTGGCATGCAAAGAGAAAAAATAGATAAATAATATGAGATGGAGCCGGAAGGAGTAATTAAAATATAAAGAACACTAAAAAAACAAATAAATCTAGATTAATTCTCCCATGTAATTCGTACAAGGATTAAGTTCAATCCTAATTTGTGGAGAACCGCATGGAATATTCTGTCATATTCCTTCGAATTTCCATAAATCCTCCCAACTAAGATGAAAAGTTATTTATACCATAAAGTAAAAAGATTTATCGACCGTAGGATCAAAATCTAACGGCTAATATCCAAAACCAAGTGACTAAAGGAATTTGCGTTAACTTACCACTAACTTATGTAATATTCCTTGGCATCTTATTTTTTTTTTGTACCTTATTCCCTTTTTCCCCCCTCCCTATAAAGCTCCCTCTTCATATGTTTGGTGTTCACAAACTCAAATACATCCCATAACAACAACAAACAGAGGTCTTCTCTCTTTTCTCGTTTCTAATTCCTCGATAATTTACTCAAAATAAATGGCTGGAATTGTAGTGTTTTTCGACTTTGACAAGACGATTATCGATGTGGATAGTGATAATTGGGTGGTGGATGAGTTAGGCGCCACTGATTTGTTCAATCAGCTTCTCCCCACTATGCCATGGAACTCTCTCATGGTACCTTTTTTTTTCTTACTGTACTTTTATGCTTGTCTATCAAGCTTTGTGCATCGGGCTTATAATTTCTGTTGTGTTTCAAATTACAGGATAGAATGATGAAGGAGCTTCATACGCAAGGCAAAACAATACAAGACATTGAAGAGGTACTGAAACGGGTTCCCAGACACCCTAGGATTGTTCCAGCTATTAAATCAGCTTATGCATTAGGGTACGTATCTCATAATTTCAGCTTTGTATTTCCTCTGTTTTCTTTAAATCTGCATAATATAAATCAGAGGTTTAAACTAATTGAATGTGTGTTAATATATTCAGGTGTGATTTGAGAGTAATAAGCGATGCAAATGTATTCTTCATTGAAACTATTTTGAAACATGTCGGAATTAGGGATTGTTTCTCAGAGATCAACACCAATCCAGGTTACGTCGATGAGGAAGGCAGGCTTCGAATCCTTCCTTATGTTGATTTTCAAACATCCCCTCATGGTTGCAATCTCTGCCCTCCCAACATGTGCAAGGTAACTAAATACTAAATCCTTTAATTTAGATTTAATATGAAATTAGCTAATTCCTGAATTGAGATTCTGTTTAATGCAGGGTATGATAGTAGAAAGAATTCAAGCCAGCATTGCTAAGGAAGCGAAGAGAAGAATGATCTATCTCGGGGATGGAATCGGAGATTTCTGCCCCAGTTTGAAGCTGAGGGAAGGAGATTTTGTGATGCCAAGAAAAGATTTCCCTGCCTGGAATTTGATAAACAAAAACAGGACACTAGTAAAAGCAGCTGTCCACGAGTGGACTGATGGGGAAGAACTCGAGCGAATTCTGCTACAACTAATCAACACAATCAACATTGAAGAAAGCCAATTGTTATCAGTGGAGTTCTGCAAATTCCAGACGATACCCAAAGCAGCTCATGGAGCCTTGCCACAGGCTCTTCCTGTGCCTTACTGAATACTAATGGCAAATCATCAACATGAAGAAAGAGATAAACTAAAAGTGGGCCACGAGATTGTTGTACTTTATTTTGTAGTATATATTTGGCATATTTTCTATCGAAAGTTAAAAAGTGATTGCTATGCTTGTTACAATTCTGTTAACCTATTTAATATTCCTTCCATTCCATATTAACTTAAGCTTTGAGGTGTTTCACATTTTTCAAATTAACTTAAGTTTTCAATCTTCAAGACTATTTTTAAAATATTCTTCCAATTTTACCCTTTAAGTTAGTATTGGAATTAGTTATTATAATTAATGTTTAGTTATTTTTGACAATAATTAATAAGGATAAAAATGAAAAATTATGTTCAATTTATGTCCTAACCTACTTTTCTTAAAGGGTGTGAAACACCTCAAAGCTTAAGTTAATATGGAATGGAGGGAGTAGTAATTGAATAATTTGAGATCATTGTTTCATTTTTGTCACGTTTGAAAAATTTGTACAAAATTAACCTCAGCACAACACAATAACTGAGGGGTGAAACCCAAGCACCCAAGTAGGTCCGGCCGGCTTCAAAATTTAGAATTTCAAACTCCCAAGTAGGTCCGCCCGACTTCAAAATTTAAAATTTCAAACTGTTAATTCTGACTTCGCTTCTGACACAATTAAAAGAATAAAATACTCTTTTAACAAATTGTGCTGTGTGGGGCATAACTTTAGTACAATTTTTGCTCTATTTTATCTTGTTAAATTATTCACAAGTTTTATTGATTTTACCTACCATGTTTTGTTCATAAGTTATATCAAGTGGGGCATTTTTTTTCATCACAAAGAAAACTCCCAGCCATTATCCTTTAGGTATGCACAGGGTAAAACCCTCACTCCTTCACAAATTTTACATTACTGGTAATACTTAGTGTTGCATTTATTCTACTTAATAATTTAATTTAAAGTTATAAAAAAGGTTTTACTGGATTGACAAAACTTATGTGTTTTTTTTTTTTTTTTTAATTAATATTGGTGGAGCTGTTAGCTCCTTTATTTATTTCAATAAACCCAAAAATTTACAAATATAGACCTGTAAAATAGGCCCAAAGGAATGAAACAAAAAACATGAAAAAATGTGGGCCAATCCAAAGGGAAATGGCATACTATAAAAGAGAGTAAGATTTCCATTTGCATCCTCTTTGTCTCCTCCGCCTCTTACACAGTAGCTTTGAGGAACAAAATGTCCTCAAGTTGTGAATTATTTATGTGTATCTCCTGACCTCCTTTACTCTGATAATTCGAAGCTCGCAGCAGTAAGTCTTCCCCCCTCTCCATTTATGTGTTGTAATGCCAATCACTCTTCCTTCCTGACCTCGGCTTCCTTTGTAGTGGTAAACTTCGGTGGTGCAGTGGATCTGATGCCAAGTCCTGAGCTATTGCTTGGAAAATGTAAGCACATCTCCATACTTTTCATTTTTGCCTTACTCCACACTGATTTGAGACGGACATAGATATTCCAAGACAACCTCTCCGTATCTGATTTGATCGACTTCGTTTTTGCTGGTGGAGCTTTTTGTAAGCTGACATAGCTAGGACTATTGTTTTCTTCACAGTTATGTATGCCTGTATAGTGGAAAAATTTGATGTACATAGCATAACTGTGTTCCTTGTTAATCTCTTTTATCCCTCCCCTGATGTGTTGCTTGTACTGTTATCTTCCTTGTTTTAATCCGTAGTGATGGAATTTCTGCTTTATCCATGTTCACAATTCCTCTACATTCCACTGATAACTGTTGGAAAACATGTATTTGTATTGCATTCGTTTGCTCAAATGCTTCATTTGCCAATTTATCTGCTAGTTTATTAGCTTCCCGAAACACATGTTGAATCTTTGCCTGTGTAGAGCTAATTAACTCTATTATTTCCAGTATTTCCTCTGCCTGCTGCCATGGTACCTTCCAATTACCTCGAATTATATTTGTAATGCTTAGAGAATCTGTCTCTAGAATGTAATTGTTGAAATTATCTCTTGCAATGTCTTAGTGCTTTAAAGACTGCTAATATTTATGCCTCCATGTTCGTTCTATTTCCCAATTGCCCTGCCTCCGCATATACAATATCTCCTTTGTCGTTCCTTAAGCAAAATGCATAGGCACTTTCTCTAGGATTCCCTCTACTAGCTCCATCCGTGTTGCATTTTATTGTACCATTATGAGGTTTCCTCCAGCTCACCGCACAGTAATGCAATCTGGGTTTGTACTCCTTAAGTATTTTGACCATCTCTCCCCAATTTTTAGGAACTTTAATCCATGGATATTTCATGTTTATCAATTGTATGATAGTGTTGACACACTGACTCTTCAACTTATAAAAATTTATATCCAATCCATGTCTTCTTGCATTTCTCCGTTTCCACAATTCCCATAGTATAATGCTTGGTATTGCTTGAAAAATGAATTTCAGTTTGATAGGAGTGTTAACTTCCCACCATCCTGTTATCATCTGTTTCAAACACCCATGTTGTTGAATACCTGCACATGAAGCAAACTGCTTCCATAGCTTTTGGGCTATGGGAGCTGTTAGAAATAAATGTTGTATAGTTTCCTCCTCAAACTCTTCACAACAATAGCATCTCGATGCTATAGTAACCCCCATCCTTTTAAGATTTTCCTCCGTGGCAATCCTTCCCTTCCAAATTCTCCATAGTAAAAAACTAAGCTTAAAAGGAATCTGTTTGCCCCACATATTCGCCCTCCATTCCTCCTTCTCCCTTCTACATCGCAGCATATCAAAAGTTGATTTGATTGTGAATTCCCCACTTGTACTTCCCATCCACCAAGCTTTATCCCCCTCCTCCGTCAGACGGGGGGTAATGCATTCCGTAATGTACAAGATCATCTCTTTCGACACTATTTGTCCCAGCTTTTGAATATCCCATTCTCCATTTGTAATGAATCTTTTCACCTCTATCTCTTCCTCCCCTCCACCATGGTCCTCTATAAAATATAAAGCTCCTTGTTTTGTCCAATTATCAAACCAAAAACTCATTTCTCCATATTTGAGTTGCCACCAAACTTATGTGTTGTTTAATCGTCTGATCACAAAATTTATTGGACGGATCAGACATGATACTATTTCCATTTTATCTTCTTTTGTTCTAAAAAATTATTCACGAGTTCTTTTTTTTTAAATTGACAAACTTGTTCATGTCGTTCAATTATCTATATCTATAAACAAGTTATTTTCTAATCAAGATATAGAATCATAAATCATAGAAATAAAACGGATACACAAAGTAAAAGGTTTACCACTGGATCTATATTTACAATGTGTTTTTTTTTAAAAAAAAAATGAAGATAAAAGTCAAATATTGACCTACAAATATATGTGATGTTTATTGTAACGACTTGATTTCCGTCGTTAGGGAAAAGCCAATAGGGAAAGAATTGGGGCCAGAAAACTTTTGAGTAGTGATTTGAAATTTCCTAACCTAGTCCAGATTTGGACGAAATCGAAGACTTTAAGGTGTAGGGAAATCTGGTAGCAACCGGGTGAATTAATTATGATTTTGATTACATGAGTAATTAGATAACTGTTAAAGAATCCGTCCGACTTTACATAATTGAATTCGGGTGAGTAGAACTCCCAGAATCGATCTTAGCGTAAAGGGTATTTTATGAGCATCGTGGGTTAGAGGTGTGTTGTGAAATGAGAATTTTGGAATTCTTGAATTAGCTCTCTGTCTTGCATAACCCGCTTTGGCGCTGGGTTTTGCCACTCTAGCGGGGACGCTACAGCGGGGTGACGGCCGTTGTGGCGGGATCAGTGTGAATTAAAGCCGTTAATAAACCCCTAAACGACCTCATTATGTGTTTTTCGACTTTTAGAGCTAAGGAACGAACCCCAGGCGACTCCTACTCGTTTTTCACCATTCTTGAGGCTAAAGATAAGCTTTTCACTCCCCGAATCCATTTTTCGATCCGTAGAACGTAATAGAATGGGTGAATATTGATGGGGAAGGGTTTGGTTATGGATTCTATGGTTGAAACAACCATAAATTGGATAATTAGGATCATGGGTTTGATCTAGGGTTCATAGAATTGTTAGTAATTTGGGTAATTAGTGATTGTTTATTGATTCTCGTATTATATTGATACTTTGTAGACCAAGAACAAGCGGAATGAATCCGGAAAGGGAAGGATCATGTCACCCCTCGAGCCCACGCCCTGGGCGGGACTGGCACTCGAGAACCATTGCTAGCCCCAAGCGAACCCTTGACCTGACTTACTTACTCAGCGGAAGACTTAAACTTTAGAAATAACCTCAAATAAGGAACTTATGAAAAATCTTAGAATGTCTATAAAGAAAGCATTCAAAACTAGCCAAAATGGCTACTCAAGTCTCATAGCAAAACATCTGAAATACAAATCTAAAAGACTCATAACTAATTGTCTGACTATCTATGAGGCCTTTAAAAACAACTGAGATGGATGTTGGGACAAGCCCCACAACATCCTATTGATCTGATAATAAAACTGAAAGCAATAAAAGGAGTCCTCCGAAATGCAAGGAGGCTCACCAACTAACTCCGAACTGCTCACTGGATCAACGATGTGCTGGATGCCGATCCTAGTTACCTGTGTTTGCATCATAAGACGATCCAGGCCGACTGGCATCAGTACATTGAATCTACGAGTATGCGAGTTGGAATGCTAAATACAACATATGCCTGAAAGGAATATGAAGAACTTACCTGGCACAACTCAACTCAACATAACTGAACTCATTTCAATATAAAGCAGTTTAAAACAAGTGCAATATAAAGAAAAGTTGTTTAAAAACATAATGTCAACTCTGTGTGTATGTAAGGGTACAACAAAACTCTGAAATGTATGTAAAAATACAAATAACTAAGTATATAAGAATACAATAACTTCTGTGGAAGTTTCTCTAACCGACAACCATCACGTAAGAGCTAATGTGATAATACAACGTTTTGCCTCACGCTGCCAGGGTCGTCCTATACCTTGCCATGAGTATAGAACCTAAACTACTAAGTGGATCCACTAGTCTATGCTAAAAAGCACTAAATGAATCATCTAAAAAGTACGACCATTTTCTACCCATGGTGGCTACATGATTTATGAGGGTTGTGAGTTGTCTGAACTCTCCCCCATATCGGTGCTCAATACTACTCCCAAAAATATACTTAGCTCATTATGTTTAAAAATATTCTTCTTCTGTGATTTGAGATTAGTGCTCAAAAACTTAGCTCAGAGGCTAAGTGTTGGACCATTTTTTCCAAATGACATATATTATTTCCTAGATACCATTAGTTCAATTCCCATCCCTAAAACATTTCCCTCTCTACAATCCTCCATTAAGAAGAAGAAGAAGTGGGAGTTAGGGTTTTGGATTCAAGGCTTTCTTCATCAAATTTCGTGGGAGATCATAGCAAAGGTATGGTGACCCTTGATCCTTGATTATCTTTCCTTCAAGGAGTCCATTAAAAAGGGTTTCAAAAGTCTTCAAAGAACAAAACTTCTATTTTCTATTCTAGTTATGGGTTCATGGGTAAAATGTTTTCAAAGTCATTATATTGGTGAATTGAAGTTCTATTTATGATTTTAAGATGATTTTATATGAAACTTCTTCAAGAACCCATGTTTTCATTAAAAGCCTTGAATTTGCTTATGAAGTGGGTTTAATGCCTATGATTTAATGTTGATGAAATTGTGTTTAGATCGGATTGTATTGTTGATTTATATGGTTTTGTATATCTATTTATGATGAATTGTTGGTATATGGATGAATTGAGGATTATGGCTTTGGTGGATGGTAAGTTGGCTTAATCTCATATTATGGATAAAATTGTTCTTGCTTGGTTTGATCCACTTATGGTGGAGGTGTTTAATTATGGAATGTATTGTGACCATGGCCTTAAAGGCAAGACATGAGGAGCTAATGTTGACTTAGAATTGTTTACTTGTTTGTTACATTGTGACCATGGCCTTGAAGGCATAGTATGAGAAATTTAAGTGTTACATGACATTTTTATGAATGGACATTCAATGGAGCTAATGTGATCATGTTATGAAAGTAAATGTGTTATTATTGAAAGGATTTTTCTCAATTTGACACTCATGAATGTTGATGATAGAATATGAAGGATTCTTCAATATAAAGTATACCTTGAATTGGTAGGGCTTATGCATCATTTTCTTGTATAAATGATTATATTGTTGATTGTTGAATCCTTGGATCGGTAGGCTAATGGCACCCTTCCATTAATGATTAGTAATGAACCTTGGAATCGGTAGGCCTATGGCACCTTTCCATAAAGGTTAATGATGAGACTTGAATCGGTAGGCCCATGGCACCCTTTCAAGAGGAGTTAATGAGCTTTCCTAAATGAACCTTGAAACGGTAGGCTTAAAGCACCCTTTCACGTGTTAATAAATGTAATTTGGAGTTGGTAGGCCAATGGCACCTCTCATATGTGATAATGTCAAGATAACGAACTATTCTATGGGAATGTTGGCTAAGCACCGAGTGGATTTGGTTAGATGGAAACTCCCCCAATAGTTAGGCATGAGTTTCAATGATCGTCTACCTTATCCCATAAACTATGTGCCCGCATAGGAAGCTAGTGGATCCATTAAGCTATATATACCGGTCTTCCTTAGGCAAGTAGACCACCTCTTTACGGTGTGGGGACTTATGACACCGGATTCCATGACAAGCTCTCATGGT